ATGGGCTACTCCTGGGATATTTCAGTTGGCAGTGACTGCCATTGTTCGGTGTTGGGCAGAGACATGACCACAATTGTGTCAAAATGAAAATATCTCACCAAAAGCACAGCCACCGCCACGTTTAGTTGAAGTACGCAGCCACGCCTACCGCATCTCAGGGATTTCGAGTGTATGCGATTCAGACAACTTATTCCAGAAAAAAAAACCGTGGTCTTCTTTTGACTCACGCTTACCGTTCCAATTCCAAAAATAATTGAGTTTCAGAAATAGCTGGTTCTTAATTGAAAAGTACATAATTCACTTCATCCCGAAGGCGGAGGTGGTGTGGTGGATACCGTAAATCGCTGTAGAAAATCCATATCAGATCTGCCTAGGCCAACCAGGCCTCCCTTCCTTCAGGGACCGCTTTACTGGTAAGAGACTCATATGTTTTTGTAGTAAAGGTCAGCTGGTCCTTGCAACCCGTGCTGCAATCCGCAAGGATACTGATCACCGACGAAGGTTGTACCCTTTATCCCCCGGATCATAACCTGTAAGGAGGAAGAGTTGACCACTATTTTCGCACTATGCACAATTTTTTACCACAGTGCACTATCCATAATGGTTATGCAATAGATATGATTAAAAGCTCTTTAGTGACGTCATAGCGGAATACGACCCTGGTTTTTCAATGGAAATTCTCAACACAACGCGCGCGATACATGCATGCATTTCTGCTGATAACATTTGTTTCGGTTTTTTTTTCACGATCGGATGAACAACGTGAGAGTCATCGCTACATCTCATGACTTCACAACGCGAAACAATGAGCTACAGGAAAATGTCGTATTTTGAAATTTCTAAATGAAACGAAAAATAACAAGAGCTGATAACATCCACTGAAGTAAGGAGAAACGTAGCAGACTTCTTTGGCTTGATGTGACAAAACGATTTTCCGTAGTGGTTTATGTCAGAGATTTCATATGCAGGCATTTTATTCATTTTTTAAAATTTTTCAATAGTATTTTCTCTGACGCACTACATAGTTCATACCCTACCCATAAAGTTTCCAGGGCCTCTGAAGGCGACGAACGATCTCCCTGGCAAAATTGAACGTAAACTCTCATAGTCATCATATTCTACAAAAAATCTCAAAATCGACAATAAATGGACTTCTGCTGAACTTGCCCGATCGATATTACGATTTGAATTTCGTGAATTTTATTCTACAGAAGAAGCACGTGCTTGACGCAGCTGGTCGCTGTTTTCGATAAGTTGGCGACATTTCGCCTACTAGTATTGACTGTTCTTTGCTCAAAATGAAACTTCTTGGAAAGGAATGAGACAAGAACGAAAAAAAATCGCGTAGTCTATGTCTAAAAATCATTCGAATACAATTCTCTTGCAAGGAAATGATAATTCTGTTGAGGACGTGAATGCAATGCACCTCCTGAAGGGGAAAAGGGGTCCGTAACCACATCGAATCTCAGTCTTTCGATTGGCACAAGTGGGGCCCTATTTGAAGGGTTTTCGTTTCGACGGTTCCATCTCTTTTTTTTCTGGCTAATCGCGGAAATTCGTCGCTTAATTTTCTTTGCGACGATGAATCATAGTCTCAAGGAACCTGCTTGGAAGCTATAGAAGGCGTGCCGGAACATGTAGCGAATGCCTACCCATTGAAAAACCTGCAAGGACAATGTAGAAATTGCATGGCACTGTAAATTAAGTGCTGTAATTGGTGAGCGAAATGTGGGTTAATTAGCTGGACTAGACATTCAGAAGACCTCTAGCTGCTATACCACTACAGTGTTCACTACTGGAATGACAGTTCCTAGGGATAAAGCAGGATAAGCAAAGGAAGAAAATAGTCAGGAGCTATTATGGCTGTAATTGTGTGCCGCAAATCCACAAAGCCACATATCGAGAAAGAAATGCATACGTCTACGGCATGTTAACCCAATCAGTAAAGACATATTCCACGATAATGGCGATAGACGACAGTGAACGGGGACCCTTGACGCTGTGTCTTCTTTAACTTGAACTTTTTCATTCTCGCTGTTCTGAGAAGGAGGTCGCGCCAATGAGGAGGACATTACACTATTGCAGTCTCCAGCCCACTCTCCAACCGGAATACGTTTTTTAAGCAGTATGAATGTGATTTTCGATTGCAGCACGTAATCTTACAAAGACAAGGATGTCCACGAAGTACGAAGGCACTGAAATAATTCTATCGCAAAGATTATTGAAACATTAAAATAGAATGCAGATGAACCACATGCTCCTGAAACACCGGTCGCTATCTGTATAAATCAGTGGATTTTCCAATCCACGCTGATCCGGCCTCTGCCTTGTAGTACAAGTATTAAATCCGAACCTGTATCGGTTTTCCAACATACTGCGTTGCTGCCAGCGTAATAGCGCCCAGCGCCACCAACATTGCCGTGTACTGGTAATTAAGTCGGTCGATCAGGTCATTAGACTGGTACGACCTGCAATTCAAGAATTGTCGTAGTCCTTTTGAAGGATGAATAAATGGTGACTCTCTCGTACTACGGGTCCTGCGTATTACTACTTTCTAGAAACCCTTGATTGTAGCACTCTAGGATTATACAAGAACGTTCAGGGTTCGCTAGAAAAGGATATATTGAGCAAAAAGGTATTCAGTTTTGATATGGGCAGACGTAGCGCCAGCAGAATTCTAAATAATTGCTCTAAAAATTTTTATAATGAATATCGGATTAGGACCAGGAAGTATTGAGGGGAAGAGCAAAAACATAACAAAATACAAGCAATTCTCCCGACTTTCCTTGGGAAACATGGAGGGCTAACGAAAATCAGGCGAAAGCGATTTGCTGGCCCCAAGGAGTGTGGGAAGAGTGGGTCGCTTTCAGATTAAATTTAAATGACCACTACTGTAGAACCTTACCAAATATGTGGTTACACTCGGGTAGCTGTTGAATGTTTTGTTAATATAAAATAGCCCTAATTTCTTGTAGGACAAATCCTACATGATGGGTTACTCCACACCCGCACACCTAAAAACTCCTGTTCCACCCAGAAGTTCACAAGTGATGAATTGGGCTCGCTTCCAAGTGCCGTAGTCTCCTCAAATATAGAGGGTTGGAGTAAGTGCAAGTTTTCCGGGTGGAGTTTACCTCCCATTCATGACCAAAATGGCCGGTACATGTTTGATCGTAACCCCCGAACAACAATCACATGGCCATTCCGCAAATACATCCATACTCTCGTACTCGTATAATCGTACCTGCGTATCTTACTGACATAGGGGACGATCGCGCCGATCATCCTTGATCAGAGACCCCTGCAAATTAAGGGTTAGTTGGAGTGAATGGTTAGCAGGTACACTGACCAAAAAGATTGGCGAGTGCAGCAAAAATATATCGATCAAGGAAATCTCTTAAAAAATTGACAAAACGACATGGGCCATAAGTAGTAATATAAGGTGAACTTCAAAGAGATGGTTTTGTAACGCTGTTTTTCCAAACGACATGGTCCATAT